CTCAAATTACTAAAATCAGGAATCAAAGAGGGGATATCACTACTGACCTGTGGAGAAAGACTGGAAATCTAGTGCGCCAGCTATGTGCCCTTGTATAAATCTCTTAATCTCTCTAAATTTCTATTTCCTCATCTGTACAAGATGAAGTTGATCTATACCAGTCATTTTCAAACTGTAAGCAGGCAAATCATTTTTTTAAACAAAATCTTACAAGGATATACTACATAGGAAATTGATTAAAGCCTAACTTCTCTGAAGCAAGATGAGGATCTTAGAGAATTGTGGATAAGTTTTTTCTTTCTCTTAAAGATGATTCTGAAGCTCTTCTGGCAGAACCCCAGGGCACCACAGAACATAGGTTCTAAATTACTGAACTAAATGATCTATAAGGGTTCCTACAGCTCTAAAGTGTTATCTGTAGTAACTTATCTTCTTATTAAAGTTGCTATTATACAATTTGTTATATTTCCACAAGATGGTGCTAATACATTCCATTTTCCATTAAAACAGGTCTTGTATATGATCATTTTTATAGTTAATAATTTTATCATAGTCTATGATTATATAATACCTTTAACTTTTCAAAGTGCTATTATGCTACTTATGGTATCTTCATTAAAAGCCTGTGACAGATAATATTGCACCCATTTTTCAGATGAAGACATCGCAGCACATAGTAGTTAGGTGAGTGATCCAAGGTCACACAGCTGATTAGTAACAGATTTTCTACTGCTAGCTCTACGATCTTTCCCTAGATCACATTGCCTGACTACAGATAATACTGTCAAAGTCCCAAGATTTCAGGCTGAGAACAGAAGTGAAAATAAAGGAATGAACATTACGTAGCATTAAAAACTGATACAAACTTCCCTTGGGCTTGTATATTAATATTTATGCATATAAATACATTTATATTTACTTTGTTATTTCCTTTACTTATTAGAAGACCTCTGGTGATATATATTCCTATATAACCATAGTAAAGGCTAAACATTGATAAATAAAAATATCTCATAAATACTGTCCTTATTGTAAACATAATAGCTATTTTTAAACCCATGGAAATTACATAATCTAGATTCACTAACTCTAAGCATTACGAATTTAGAAAACAACAGTACAATTTGTGCTGGATTCTCCTCTCTTGATTCCATGAGAGATACAAAATGTTAGATAGAAGCAGGAAAGAGACACATTTCTCTTCCCACTTGAGTATACTACATCCAGGGTAAAAACTATTCCCAACGAATAGAAAGCAACTCATATTAGCTACAATTGAGACAGGTTTTAGATTAGTTTCAGAGAAATCAAAAATGGGTTAGAAAAGGACCTTAAAAATTACTCCTCCTCTAACATACTGCCTACCCAATTATTTATTTACATCCAAAAAAATCCAGCAACACTAAGTTTAGGTTGTGTTTTGTTTTTAAAGAAAATATAAACTGTAGCCATGGTCTCATAAGTATGCTAAAGAAATCACGTTTTCTTTGGATCCTGAGGGTTTCAAGAAAGGCAGCACAGAGCTCTCACACAAGGGGTTGACAAATACTCTCATTTTTGTTAACTTGTAAAGGACTCTCTTCTTCAGGAATCTATAAGCACTCAGTCTCTGACCTGTAAGTCAAAGAGGTAGGGTCATTTACATTTCATTTATTATGATCAATGTTAGATTAAAGAAGGTGTTCTTCAGAGTTTTATCCAATTCTCCAGGATTTTGTCCAATTCAAATGTCTTCTGTCATTTTCCCAATTTATGTCACTATCTCTAATATAATAAGAGATCACCAATTAGGAATTTTCCTATGTATAGTCTTTGGCTTGGTTTCATTCCATTTATCTTCTTTATTCACAGTCCATTTTGAAAAAAAACTCAACTCCTTAAATCCTCCAAATGCATTTCAACCATTCTCATCTTTTCCTTGTCATTTATTAAAAGAGCTTTTAAAAACTGTTTTTGAGGGGCCGGCTTGGTGGCGCAGTGGTTAAGTGCATGCACTCTGCTTCAGTGGCCCGGGGTTTGCAGGTTCGGATCCCAGGCGCGCACCGATGCACTGCTTGTCAAGCCATGCTGTGGTGGTGTCCCATATAAAGTAGAGGAAGATGATCACAGATGTTAGCCCAGGGCCAATCTTCCTCAGCAAAAAGAGGAGGATTGGCATGGATGTTAGCTCAGGGCTGGTCTTCCTCACAAAAAAACAAAACTGTTTTTGAAAAAAATTTAAAAGAACATAAAGTAAAATGTTAATACTGAGCACTTATGAATGTGGCATTACAGGGGACTTTTACTTTCCATTTATTTTAATATTTAAATTTTTATAATTAGCACATATCACTTCTTTAATCAGCAAAAAAGTTTTAAACATTATTTTTACTATATCCATGGGTATTACCCTTTCATTTTGATTGTTGTCCTCTAAATTTAATTTGTCATAAGTAGAAAATAGGTCTTCTTACAGGAAAAGGAAAACAAATGAGCCTCCCAAGTGTTTGCCAGCCAGTAGCTCCAAGGAATACAGTTGAGTGAATTAGAAAGAACGACTAGAAATAAAGGAAAAATTATCCATGATTGAAAATATGACTAAGGTTTTGGGACTAGGACATTTTCCTCCCAGGAGAAAATCTGCAACATCTTTGCAGTAAATCAATGTAACCCCAAAGTCTTTTGAGTTGGGCTTATTTGTATTTGTTTGGTTTACACTGCTTTTTGCAGAACACTAATTAGCTACAGTGCAATTTCTGTACACCTTTTCTAAAAAGCCACGTTCAGTATATGTCCAAATTATTAGATAGGACTTCTTTAAAAGATAAAAATTAAATTTAAATTCCACCAGGGTGACTGACAGGCCACTAACAAATTCCCAGATTGTGAAAGAAAGAAAGTGCTATATCAACAGTCTCTTCTCATCTACTTATTCTTGCCTTCTGCCAGGAGCAGACAGAGGAGCTCAATATAGCAAGAATTACAAAAGGGGAGGAATAGGAGAAAATATTGTATTTTATTAAACAAAAATCTCTTAAATATATTTCCAAAGCTGGCATTCTGATTTCAAAGATCTGAAATTTTAAATTCTATAGAATCCTAACTGAATTTGTCATTGAATACATCAAGGCAGGTACCTTGACACCCACAGTGAAGTAAGCTGAAGGATTCTCAATTTCATTCATAATTACAGAGGCCTTCTCTTAATCTGTGGCATCTCTAATAAGGTGACATGATCAAAAGAGTGTGGCAGAAAGCAAGGCGAGCAGCAGCTGTTCATGAACTTTTCTTAGCAAAAGAAAAGGCAGGGAGGAGGAAAAAACTAAGAAAGGTCTTGAACTTAACAAGAAGTGAGGGAAAGAAAAGAGCTTTATAAACAATACCCACTACCACTCCTTATGTCGTAGGCTTCTATTTCAACAAAACTCTAATATACTGCAGCAATTTTGATATCTTATCATTTGTGTAAAAATCAGGTTTTTCCTTTTTAGACTAAATGAGTACTTCCAAATTGTATATAACCTCTAGCTTAAGATTCTGTTCTCAAAAGAGTTAAGCCTATAGAAAAGTGCAATCATTTTCCATGGCCTCCTTCTGGTATAAAATTTACAGAGAAGAGTGCTTAATTAGCAGCTGTTTACTCCTGCTTATATCACCAACTGCTCCCAACAGTTTTCTCAACATATGGATAATTAAAGCATGAAGAAAAATTATTCCAAAGACTAGTAGTATGATAGAAGATGATGGGTGCTTGTCTCTATGATATTTTTACCTGGGAAGTCGACAAGTAATCCATGTTTGATTTGACTGTGATGAATTTTAAAATAAACTAGTGGACTGGCCATATTAGTGTCCCCTTGCAGTAAACAGCAAACACATCATCTAGCGATAGCAGCAGCAGCTACCATTTATTGAGCAGTTTCTATTTCTCAAGCATGTTATTGAACACTCTACAATACGTGCATCATTGTATTTAAGCTCTACAATAATTCTAATAGGTATCACAATATTAACAATTTCACAGTGATGTCAAAGATGGCTCAAATTTTGATTAGGAGTTGATCTAATACTGGAAAAGTTAACCATTGTGCTAAAATCCCTATCATTAATAATGATAATTATTTTTGCCTCTTTTTAAACACATTAAAATATAACTTTTTTCAAGGCATTTGAAAATACTTCAGCAAGTTATTTTTATATCCCCAAAAGATGTGGAAAAAATAATCAGGCAGAGAGACTAAAACCATATATAATAACTAGGGCTAGAATTCCAATTGTTGCTGTTTTCCCCAATCTCATTCTAGTGACAAGAACACAAAAGACTCAAAATATAGTGGTGCTCTATAAATTTGTTATTATATAGATTTTGATAAAAATATTACTGTGGGTCAAATTATACTACTAAAAATATAGCCACTAAATATATAGTAAAAATCTGATATAGTTAGCTTATGATATGGATGTCAGTCATGTCCTGTCACCATCATATTTTCCTTCTGTAAGGTTTCCTAAAAAATGATGATGGCAAACAAGAGGTCAATAACCCATGGCATATTTGAAAAGAATGTACATGTCATGCCACTTCAAGCCTCAGCCTACTCTTATGACCAGTTCCTAGAGAACATTCACCCTCATTCTTGGCATAAACTTCAAACTCACCTCATAGTCTTAAGCTTCTAGAAGCCATCCATGGCACCAGCATGCCTTTTTTTTTTTTTTTTTTTTAAGGAAACCTGTTGTAAAACCTGTGCTAAACTAGTTAGCTCCTTTGGTATATTTTAAATAATTCAATTTATAAAAATATGACATAATAAAAATGTCAGGTACATTCCACTTGAGTGAAGCATTCTAAATTGAGACAAGTGTATCTCTTTTAACTGCATAAGCCTGTTCTGTCGGGCATAGTTCTTTATAGAGTTTGATCAATCTTTGGGATCTAAAAAGTCTTTTACCTAAACAAGCAATTTGCAAAAATATTTTGTTAGATATATACATGCCTGTGAGTACTATAATCTTAATACCATATTTGTATTTATTTCATTAATGGTAAATGTAATTTTCACAATAGTTAAACTAATCATATAACCAGAACTAACCCTGTACTCAGAAAGGGGAAACATTTACTGAATTTATTTGACATATTTTACTCCATAATCCCTTGATATTCAAAGCACCTTATGTGACATCTCCAGAAAAATACATTTTTCACATAAATTCATTTAACTAGCAATTATTGAGTATTCTACTATGTGTCAGAATCTGTGCTGGGCCTAGGTATTCAGTGAAAGACAGGATTCTTCCATATAGTTGCTACATTTTTGCACTATTCCCATGCTATTTCCAGATTCAACACAACAGTACAAATTTTAGTATAGTACTGAGCATACAGTAAGAGCTAAATATATACTTTCTTGACTGATATTAAAATACCAAAATTCATTTAAGACTAATAATTTGAGCTGATCCTACTCCCACTCACTCGCCTTTATACTCTGGGGTTGACAGACAGGAACATGTAACAAAGAAAAAAAAATATTTCCATATTCTTGATGGAGAAACAAAGGAGAAATGGAGGGAGAACATGCACTTATGTTATATTAAGAATAGAATATATTTTTCTATCAACTGGCAACATGTAAGAATAATAAACAATACATGTTAAAGGAGTAAATAAATTTAGCATGTTGGCTTTTGAAGTCACAGAATGTTTAAACAGCCAAAGTACTCTATAGTAAGTATTAACTGAACTTTATGACAATATTTCTGAACTTACATTCATTATTTTGTTTATATTACCTAAGCCAGAAAGAACTTTCTTCATATTTATTCTGCTTGTAGGTTTCTACTCCAAAGTTGTAACAGAGAATATGAAGATATCCAGTCTGCAATATTAAAAAAACATGATACATCAGATTCATGATTTCCTTAACATTAAAAAAATCTATAGCAGTTTTTAAGACATACTTAAAATGTTCTGTACATCAAAATAACCCACTCTTCTCAAAACCTCTGAATTTATATAAGGGGGTACAAAATATTCAGGTTGGGGCATTAGTTATGAATGGAAAGTAATACAATACATTATTAATAGAATTTGAAAGGTCCTTTGTAATAGGAAATGGGAAACCTAATCATTTCTCAGCAAAAGGACAGGCTAAAATGTCTGTAGGTTGCCAGATCTAGTAAAAGGCATTAGAGCAGAGAGTATATTCAAAGAAAGAAAATCACCATTGAGGGGGAAAAAACGAATGATTTTATTTTCAAAATTAAGACAACTTTAAAAAATTCTAAAGTTCTGAAATGTGTCCAAAGCACTATCTAGTCATGAGACTTATTTAGAAATAATTAATTTAATGGACCCTCTTTAACAAAAAAAATTTTCTTTACATAAATTACCATTGAGATAAAAGTAGGAACGAGAATGTGAATGGTGCCATAGGAAAATACACTTTTACGGGTTAATCAGCATCTCAGTCCCTGCATCAATGCCATACCTTACAGAATTTTCATCTGTCAAAATACTGGGAAATGGCATAAGAGAAAAAATGTTATTTATTTATTTATTTTGTGAGGAAGATCAGCCCTGAGCTAACATCTGTGCTAATTCTCCTCTTTTAGCTGAGGAAGACTGGCTCTGGGCCAACATCTATTGCCAATCCTCCTTCTTTTTTTTTTTTCCCCCAAAGCCCCAGTAGATAGTTGTATGTCATAGTTGCACATCCTTCTAGTTGCTGTATGTGGGACGCGGCCTCAGCATGGCCGGAGAAGCGGTGCGTTGGTGCGCGCCCGGAATCTGAACCCGGGGCCGCCAGCAGCAGAGCGTGCGCACTTAACCCCTAGGCCACCAGGCCAGCCTGAGAAAAAATTTTAAATTCTAATATTTTATTCACATATCCCCTCAGTATTTATAGAAACCATCTATCCAGAATCCGATTATACCCATATAATGGAGTCCTTTATAAGTCTTACCTGAGTAAGACTACAGAAGCAGATCCTCAATTAAGAATCCAAGATCTGAGGCAAATTATTCATAAGTAATGTGTAAAGACCTGTCTTGCTTCAAAAAAGTTTCCCTTTGAATTACAGTACATTCAGAAAGAAGTTCGATATGCATGCCTGAGCACATCAGACCTACTGTATATTTGTTTTTTTTTTTTTTCCTACTGTATATTTGACTCTAAAATTAAGAATAGTCTTGGTAATGAGGGTCTGGCAAGAATCCAGAAGTATTTAAATGCACTCTTAACATTTCAGCAGAAAAAGCTTAACTCATTACATGCCTCAGATCCCATAGGTTCACCTGGGCCACACTAATTATGTAGCTATACTGGAATAATGGAGCTCACACTCACTTGCTGCAGAGGCCTGCAACATAACTTGTACAGAGGAAAATGTAAAATAAAACTTTTGATGAACATTTAAGCATACTGAGTCTTTATTCAGTTTCCTCAGTATAGTCATGCATCACTTAACAACAGGGATACATTCTAAGAAATGCATCAGGTGACTTTGTTGTTATGCAAATATCATAAAGTGTACTTACACAAACCTAGATGGTATAGCCCACTACACACTTAAGCTATATGGTATAGTCTATTGCTCCTAGGCTACAAACCTATACAGCATGTTACTGTGCTGAATACTGTAGCAATTGTAAGACAATGGTAAGTATTTGTGTATCTAAATATATCTAAACATAGAACAGGTACAGAAAAGATATGGTATAAAAGATTAAAAAAAAATGGTACGCTTGTATATATATATACCATTGAATGGAGCTTGCAGGACTGGAAGATGCTCTGGGTGAGTCAGTGAGTGAGTGGTGAGTGAGTGTGAAGGCCTAGGACATCACCGTACACTACTGCAGACTTTTTAAACACTGTACACTTAGGCTACACTAAATTTATTTAAAAATATTTTTCTTTCTTCAATAATAAATTAACTTTAGCATACTGTAACTTTTTTACTTATAAACTTTTTAATAATTTTAACTTTTTGAGGAGAGAAGTCAAGATGGCGGCATAGGCAGACTCAGAACCCACCTCCTCCCACAGACACAGCCAATTTACAACTACTTGTGGAAAAATTACCCCTGAGACAGAACTGAAAACTGGATAATAGGAACTCCTGCAACAAAGGACAATCCTAATTGAGGTGGAAGTGGCAGAAACTCTCCACAAGGGTGTGGAGAGAAAAAACGCCACCTTCACAAGCTGCCAGCTTCACGGCCACCCGGGAGCAGCCCAAAGGTACACAGCCTCCCTGGAGGCGCGGGGCCCTGAGCTGGGGAGCACCCCCGCTGTAGGTGTTTTGTGGACCCAGCACAATCGAGACAAGTGGCATAATATCAGACATTGCCTGCTACTAAAACATTGGGGACTACCCCCAGAAAACCTGGTTCACAAAGAAATTAAAACTGGCTCTTAAAGGGCCTTCGCACAAACTCACCTGTTTCAGAAAGCATCGTAAAGTCACCAGAAAGAAAGGTGCATAGTGCTTTGGTGAAAAGAGACTCACCTGACAGGCCCTGAGTGCATCTCAGTGAGAGGTGAGACCTCTCCAGGGACTGGGACATTGGTGGCGGCCATTGTTGTGGCCTGGTGTGGGCAGGCTGACAGACGCCATTGGAGTTGTCCCTGGGGCCTGCTGGCCTGGGGTCTGCCCCACCCGCTAGAGCACCGATTTAATCCAGCTCAGCCAGGGCAGGCAGCCCACCCTAGAGACTGGCCCCAGCCAACAATAAGCCCTCAGGCAACTTGTGGGCCTGCAGAGATTGGTGACTGGATTCTCTGCAGCCTGGCAACTGAGCCCACTTCAGTGTGGCAGGGCGTGCACAAGGAGCAGGTGGAGAGTGTGGGGCAGTGGTGGAGTGTGTGGGGCTCCAGCCATGGAGAGGCTGGGTCCACTTCGGGAGGTCAGGGTGCACACACGGGGCAGGGCAGTGTTGACTGTGTGTGTGGACCTGTGGGCAGCAGGGCCTGTCAGCTGCAGAAGACTTGTGCTTCTCAAAGACCTACATAGGGGGATTGCCCCACCTTCCAAAGTCTTAAACAATTGGGTGCTCCTGTGCCTGAGGCCAGTCCCACCCAGCTGCAATCCTCAGAGAGCTGACAAGAGGTCTAAAGGCTGAAGGCTTATAGCAATTGTAAGGCCCTGAGCCTAACAACCTGCCAC